GGGCATAATGCGCTCGTAATGCGCTCGCTGATTCTTTAGCAGTTGTGGTTGGCATACCCACCGTCCGGTGCGGAGGAAATCAGGGTCTCATCTTTCGAACGCCAATGACATGCGATTTTATCTTACCTGAGAAGTTATGTCCAAAGATCACGTAGGGTAGTTACGTAGTTGTCCCAAGTATCTGCGTTGGATGTAATCTGTACACTCGTCATGTTGTGTTGCATACGGTCATTCATTTTCTAGATCAGCTCTTTATGAAAGAACATGTTTTAGGCCGATTGTAAACGGTACTCTTTGAAGCATCTCTAATCAGCCGATTTAATTTGTTGGAGAATTCGTGCCAGAGGACATTCTGGTGGTCTTCGTTGAGGTGCGACCAAGTTGTAGCTTCGACGAGCTGAGTTAAGCATTCGTAACGTTTGATGATGCGTACCATCTCATGGTTTACTTCCGGTATTCCCCTAGCACGTGAGGCTGCAACTAATAACTACATGATAACTGCGGCTAAAAGTAGGGTGCACGACCAACACATCAGCCATATGTTCCTTGTTGGTAAGCAAGAGATCCAGCACATATGGTCTGTTGTATGTTCTATATCGAGTGAGCAGAGTGACGTGATTATAAGGTGGAACACTGGTAACGAACTCTTACAGATTGGCTTTGAAGTGTTCTCCGATCATGACAGGTCTTTCTAAACGATGCAGGTTGAAATCACCTATGATCAAGACATGAGTGTACTTCTTCCTTAGACTGCACATTTAGTAGTGACTAGGTGACAGTTTATTTCGGGTGCAGAGTTTGTGGGACAGTACACCAAATCTATAAGACAAGCGTCACTGTATTTTAAATGCAGGCGACACCAAAACGAATCAGTAAACTGAAACTCTGAACACTTCCTTGTCTAGTACTCTAATAGAAAATTATCCCTCCTCCTCTTGTGAGTTTGAAGTTCGGATAAGCGACATACCCAGTAGCGAAACTTCAGCGTCCCTGGTTCCGGCGTGTAACAACGTGTCCTTTACACGGATGATATCGCATGGCTTATAAACTCGGCGTTCTTTCAGTCCGTCTAGCTTTTTGAATAGGGTTTAGGCATTAGTATATAAGCAGGTTAGTTTCTCAGTCTCAGTCAACAGGAGGTCAAAGGAATCAGGTGTGAGACAATGCCGACTAATGTAAGACTGGCCGTTATACATTTTTGGATGGGATACTGACACGTATACTGCAACTTGATTTGGCCAAGGTACGTCCAATTCATCGTCTAGACCTACATCAGAATCTAGTGAGTGGGTGGTCGACTGAATCTCCTGTGTCATTGCCGATAGGTTTGCTTTTTCACGGGACATCATGTCTGGTCTTCGTAAAGCCTCTGCCACCTTTAACCGAACTTCAGCTGGAAGGCTTTTCTGGTTCGCAGAGTTATGATGACTACTAACGTACTAGATTTGTGCTTTTAGCTTTGACATTTACTAAAATGCACAACGAGTTTCACTGGTGTTGGTTGTCAGGCAATATACTTTCAGTGTGATAGTGGTAACTTCAGGGACATGTGTACACACAACAGTCAGTTTCAGTGTATAGTCCACACCGATGCTGTGATTAGAAATGATAGGGATTGTGGCAGTGATTCAATATAAATCACTCCGAAATTGAAATGGCAATTTTGCGTAGTAGGCCAAGTGATCAAAGTCCAGCATCTTTCACAATTTGATTCTTCTGAGTATTTTACTCGGTTGTACTGTGGCTTTGGAATAACTGTTGCTCATATGCTTTACGACCAGGATTTCCAGCATAATTTGCTCTCAGTTTCCCCATAAGATTTGGACACAACTTAATAGCATTTCCGTTGATAATAAGCTATCCATGATGGACAGTGTGACGCATCAGTTGTACGAAATAGAAGAGGATGAACCATCATGCCAGTCACTTGGAATTGCCAGCCTATGCAAAACGTTGGCTTGAGCTCAATGATTCCTTTTATGTGGTTGATTAAGGAATTTTATCACTACGTTTTCAATTCACATTCTATGGATGTATAGTTTACACGGAAATTATATCTAGGTTTTAGCATAAGGTTGCGCGAACTAATGACGATCTTCTATTACTACCCAACCACTAGCTGCGTAGACAGGGGATCTTATAGCACAGTACTGCAACGGATGGTTCGGAAGTGGACAATGTAGCCCTCCACGCATTATTCATCTACTTTCTGATACATAACTCGGTAGCTCATACTGTGCAGTTATCCATTTCTCGGCGGATCATTTGCAAACAGTATGCTTGCAAACCCCGAACCAGAACTCTATAATGCTCTTAATATACTTGAGATGTACGAAGTATTGCCCATACATCACTATACATCTGAAACCAGACCTACGACAAAACGCACGTTAAGCAGTTTAGGGCGTTTCATCAGAATAAGAGTTTTTAACCTGCTTGCTTAGTCATTCCATTCAACAGTCGCGCAGATGTCAAGTACCAATATCCCGCTACTCCAGCAAATCAGTTAGCCCATTTTGTCACTTATAGATCAATGGGTGATCAGCGACCATGTATAACCCAACCTGTGCATATCTTGCTAGGAAGCTTTTACTCCAAATTTGTACAAATCCTGCTGAAACTGTATGGCTCAGACGTTAACTCGTAGACCGATAAGTGGTGACTACTCTAAATATTTGCAGCTGTACAACCTGCAGATAATAAAACTTGCGGCTTTTTCTACCTCCCCTACAGTTCATCTCTTGCACAAATATGCGTCCGTGCTATGTTACATGCGCTGCAGTGGCATATACTCAGTCGTTTTAGCTAGTGACTCGACATCGAAGATTCATTTATTTTAGTCCATCAATGGGCAGTACAATTGAGTTCGAAAGGAGCGAAATGACCATATGGTGCTTTTCCGGATGCATGCTGGCTCGCTGACTTAATGTAGCTATGACGAATCCTCTTTGATATCTTTGCTTCTCAACAGTTCATCTATATTTTTTAGCTTCATCTCAGATCTGACACAGAGAGGCCAGGGGTGCAGTCACTCCTCTGTTGGGTTATGTGCATGTGTCCTCTGTTGTGTACAGCTGTTTGTTGAACGGGGTGGTAGGCATTCGACTGTTTGTTCACATCAAGCTAGGTATCACAGAAGGAGGAGATAAGGCATACTAAGCTAATAGAGTAATTACAAATTCTTAGAGTACGGCCGAAATTTGTCAGGAGCTGGTGGTATAAGCTGTCTCGACGAGCCTAGAACACTGAATAGCCGCGCATTTGTGACCAAATACTACCGCCCAAGTGACGCTAACTGGCACTGTACGGAATACGTGAACTATAACTGCTCTCCATACTGTTGTGCATGCAAATTTCATTCCCATATAAACTACCGTTATGCAACAGTACAGTTTAATCGGTAGCCGCTTAAAGTGACGATTCACTTATCCTCTGATCCCATTAATTATAATTTTCACTAAACCCCTCCTATGGGACTTGTCATACATATACTTTTCTACACGTAATAAATCATTGTTCATTGTTCATAATGGTTGTTTTCCCACACCTCATTAACAGCACTGATACCGCTGTTTGCGCTTACTCGAAATACGCATGATAATTGCCGGCTGCAAAAAACCATCTTTCCATTGTGTCTCATTGGACGTAAGTGGCTTTTAGCTACCAGAGTGACTAGCACAAGTTACACAATTCTTACTGCCCACCGTCAGGTACCGATTGTATCTCCGTTTTATACCATCCGAGAAACAGATCGTGGAAATATTTTTGATGTCCCGTTATGCCTATTTGTAATATGTGAGGTCTCAATTTGGGCAAGTCGGAACACTGGGTTCTAGAATCTGCATTTACAGATGATTGCAAAATTCCTCTTATGGACTGTGAGACCTGACCGAAGAATGGGTCCTAGGTTCGGTCTCTTAGCACTACTCTGTCATTCCATTTGGAGCTAAAATTGTAGGTACCAGGTCAGGAAATTGCTTTTCCTTTAAAACGTGAAGGAAATGCTTAGCATACTTTGCATTTTTCACAATGTCTCCGTGATTGGCGAAAACTAGTTTACCAGGAACTCCTTACTGTTCCAGTAAAACCGAATCTCTGTTGCGGATACAAGTTTGTCATATGATGACTTAAAATGTTTGATAGCAGTTAGAGAACCACCATTCCTTCATCTTATATTTCAGAGAAAACGTTTTATATAACTGCAAGAGTTCTATTCAAAAACGAAATCGTGCTTTCTCTTTCGCATATTTACAGGAGTATGCGCCTAATGTATCTTTTAAAGCAATTCTGGGATCTTGCTGATATTGCAATCATACTTCATGTTCCGCACATATGCGGCGTTTGCTAAACCCATCTTATCATTGAGAATGCTTCGATAGTAACGGTTCCTGTATCATGTACAGTGATTCTTAAGTTGCGAAAAGTTTTATCTTCTGAAATCCATAGTGACACTGAACGTCACAATATAACACAAAGTGGTAGAATGCAATTGTTGTTTATACTGTGCTTGAGCACAAAGTATGGGACACCGCACACTTCTCCGATTTGTCCAAAAGGATACTATTGACCGCCTCACCCCATAATTTCTATGATCTGCTTGACCACGAACCTTGTGGGTGGATGGAGTTTGCTTGGTCCCGTTAGCGGTAGTAACGTTAAAAATGCGACCTCTCATTCATTTGATCGATGCACAGGCGTGTCTATGCTGGTCGACTTCGGGTGGAGGCGACTCCGAGCCAGAAATTATTCGTAGACGCTGTACTTAGCCATGGGTATCCCAGGTCGTCCAGAGGATCAGCCATGGGACACCTGTAGTAAAACCTTCTTTGCTTCCGTTACAAATGAAGATTCACGGGCTCTTTATATAGTTGCACTGTCTCCATATATATATACACATATATATATGCATATGCGTATATATATAGCTTTATCTATATTCATACGTCAATAAATAAGCGTCTTTTATTGTGAAGTTCTCTCCCTTTCGATTCATTTTTTAGCCTCCATCCGGATTCATACATAAGAAGTCGACCAAACTTCCGTTCCGGTTTCGGTGGTAACTACTGCAGACCGGATGCCGGAATCCAAAAATCCGAGAATAAATACAGTCGCTCAATTTCCCTGGAGCGTTCACAGATGCGTTCACCAAAATCCCCATGTGTGGCAAATCGACAGTTGGTTGGTGCCCACAGTTCGAGTGTGAATAAACCGGTACATACGACCAACAGAGATACTCCTAGCCGAACAGCTGATTCACAAAGTGTAGAAACTGATCAAATCAGCCCGACGCTGTCCATAAGTCGTGGGTTGTTCTCCCCTAAGGTGGTCTCCCCCACTACTACCTGGATCGAGAAGACGGATCGAGAGAGACGATTAGATGAGAAACTACTCCAATTAATTGACCAACTACCAGCGTACAAACAAAACGAGATGATTCTGGTGTTGCTCACGCTCTGTTCTCGGAATCAGCAATCTGGTCACAACGAGGGATTGCACTTCAGGCTGAGGGAAGCGCTGCAGCTGTTGCAACCACAGGCTAGTGAGAATGGGAACCTTCGTCAGGTCGAGTGTAATTGTAGAACGATAAGCTGCGTTTCCCCGGGAGTTGGGTCGAGCAAGTATGTTTGTTATCTTTCGTTGTGCCGTACTTTGCTTTTAAATGACTACGTTATGGTCCTAGGGCCATTGTACTCGATGTATTCATTATGTCTACGTAGTCATCCTACACAGTGATGCTGCATCGACTCGACGGCACCATTGTCTACCCTCATGTGGTTGTGCGCGTAATTTTACACCATTTCCACTGCCTAACAGTCATCCTAATAGAAGCTGCCTAGTGTGTCCCCATTTGGCATTTATGTTCATGATGTGTCTGTGATGCGTCAGCCTCAGTGTTAAAATGAATGTCGCTTGGTTATGTGCCACTTCGTGTGGTGTGTTGGCTACAAACATGATGCGACTGTGGAACCGTCGCGTTGCGTCGAACATGAGTCATGCGGCTGCACACAAATCTATGTCAAGGGTGAATCGATTTCTTTAAACGGCCACTTGGAATCAGTGAATCTCGTGGGAAATGAGCACATTCACATCATTATTCCGTTAGGTTGATGGTTTACGCAACTACCGGACTCGTTTAAAGCTGTTGCGTTCATCCGTCTCATCAAAGCGTCTAATCACGATCACACGCTGGTGGATGGCTAACTATAATACGAAATTCAAACTGGGATTTGGGGTGTCATTGTTGGAAGAAACGACACCGAAACACCAACTATAGTAAGAATCACTCAACTTACGCATGGCACACCGCTAATAATCACTAGACCGGCATCAATGCTTGAGCCTTGTGCCGTCTCAGATGATGTAGTTAAGTACTTACCAAATTTGGTAACAAGACTCAGCCGCTGCTTTGATATTTTAGAATATTGCGGAAACATATGGCCAATTAGTGGTGATAAATAAGCTAGTTGGAACGGGACACAGTCCGTCATTCGGCGTGGATTACAGTCGATGAGCTGTCTTTATAATTTTTAAAATAGCAACTGAGAGTACCTTCATTTTATACATAGGTTGCAGTACTGTGCCTCGGTCACAGGAACATTACGAGATGCTTGTGTAACATCCAGACAGTCATCTTTCCGGTACTGCTCGATAAGCTGATTTAACGATTACAATTGGCATATTTATTGATTCCCATTGCAACTACATTATGGTAGCACAAAGACATCCTGTATACAGATTGCGTCCGTTGTTCTACCTACACGTGTTCCACCCACCGAAGTTTATGGGTAAGTGCTGATCCACCGTTTCTCAGCCTTTCCAATGATGTTTCCTCGTAGCCAACAGAGTCAACACATTGTTGTCGTTGGTTTCACTTGGTCCTAGAGTGAAGCAATTACATTATGATGTTGTACCCATGCAATCTGCTGCAGTCAGTTTAAAAATACTTACGTTGACACTCAAGGCACAACGTGATAGCCAAACGCTTGAAAGGTTGTTTAAATGTCTCCAGGTATCTGCGCCACCTTTGTACCATTTTGGCAGGCTGCGTGTGGGTAGAAATCGGTGCAGTGTCCACCGGATTCTCCATGACCTACGGTGTATGGTCGTGAGCAACTATTAAGGAGACATACGGCTCTTCATGCTGATAATATCCGGCGTATCCTTCAGGCTGCTCCGTTTTCTTTGTTAATTTTGTATGTTCAATATGAAAAACCCACGAGTGAGCTACCAGCGCATCTGTCGAAATTGGCCTGATCTATCCATAATGTAAGGGTTTTCATCCTGCATAGAAAGTGGCGCATTCGTCTAAAACTATTACTCTCCAACGGTCTTCCATCTGTAATCGGAATGATCGTGATCCTTCGAGTTTGCGGACTTTATCTTTGATTAAGCAGATATGTCCATCTGTGGTTTCAGGTGATGCAGCAAATTGCCTACAGGGTCAGTGAATCTGACCTCGCTAGAGCGCGCCATCGTTTCAGGATGTAACCCACGTTGCTTTCTAACATTTCCAAAACAACGGACTTTGTGTTGCACTCGGTTCACAGCAAATGAGTACAGTGTCTACCTAGGAAAACTTATACACAGAAGCTGACATGGTCAGATGGGAATGTACTCCACACTAGGGTGTAGGCAGCAAACCGACCAAATGCAGTCGGAACATTTCACGCTCACGTACGATCATAAAGCTTAAAATTTGCTTGAGCTTGTACTAGAGTTCTTCTGAAGTCCGTTAACCAATGTTTTACACTATGGAGCATAACTCAATTCACCTGTCTTTCGAATGACAATATCCTTGCTGTTGAAGTTGGAATCTTGCTCCTTTGGATCGAGCTCTACTGCTTCGTTAATGTCAGAATCGCAATCAAAGTTCCCACAGTGAATGTGAGCCTCGAAAAAAGGTACCAAATAAACGTCTCCGGTAATGCGATCTGAAGAATAGAGTTGACCTTCAAGCATTCTGAATCTTGATCCATAAATCGTTTCCATAGAAACCCACGAAGAATGACTGGGTGCGTCGACTCGATGAAGCAGCACGCCTTTCCCAATTTGCTCCTTTTTACTTTAACTGCTTCTACAATTTGTTGAATTAATCCTGTGTACCACTGACCAGTTATTGTAGCACTTGAACCCAGATACACAATCCTTCGACGTCCCGGAGTATAGAGGTCATGGCTTTGCCAGCCAATGGTGTAGAAGGGAATTTCTCGGGTAGTGATGACTTAGTGTGTCCTCACACCATGCGTTGCTTTTTTATTTCAGAATCAAATGATGGATCCGGATTTCATCCACATGAGACCAGAGGCTTTTTAGATCCACTTAAAGGAAATCAGATTGGCCTGGCACATCTGAACCCGATATGCCATATGTTGTACAGTTACCATAGGTGGCACTTATCACGCTTTGACTTTTCGGAAATTCAGTGTACCCGTCAGAATAGAATACACGTTGCCATTTCAAATACATACGAATAGATATTGTATTAACTGTTTTTCTTTTGTCCAGCTGGATGATGCTGTTAACCTACCCAGCAATTTCTTGCGTCACCAATCTTAATGACCGCCACAGCGGTCGACATCTTCACATGACTCCTTACCCTAGTTAAAAGATCTAGGCCACTAGGTAACTGTTGAATAGGCAAGATGATTGTCGCTTATAATACTGACATCGTTAAAGAAATTTTGTGGAGCCATTCCTCTCAGCTTCAAATATTGCAAAACCACTCTCTTCTCAACGGCGCGGACTAGAATTAACTCCGTTTCACAAAGTTTGGGATAAATGGGAATAACCCTGCTCCGCAAAAAACACACAGTACAGTACAGCATAGTAGCTGTGTGTCACTGTAGCCTTCACAGGCTACGTTGCAACGACTATCCATTCATCCTATTGTGCGGCGCTGTACAAAGTTCTGTGCGACTCTCTCAGCAATCCTACAGGACATTGAAAGGTATTCTCGAGAACCCAACGGATGGTTTAGTGAAAACAGGCATTCAGAGATAGATAAGTATGTTAGGAATAATAAAGTGCACCTGGGAAGTTGATGAAAAGATTTGATGGGGTGCGCTGTAGCGTTGCGTCTACAGGAAAAGTACGCGGAATAGACAGTACACAAAATGCTACAACTTTGTGCCACTTATGTTTAAACGGGACTTGATAAATACCCTAGTGAGCCAAGGTGAACGTATCTGCTCGAATGGCACGCTTCCGAAAGAAATTGAATGCATTCGCTTAGTGTTAAGGGCGAATGACTATCCGGAGAGCTTCACCACAGCCAACATGGAACAAAAGAAGAAACAGCCTGCAGTTTTGATAGTAGGACATAAGCCAAACTTCCTACGGCTGCCATACAAGGGTGAGGTTGCGACGGAACTTCTATATTGTTGTCTGTCCTTTACACTCAGACGCATCTATCCAGCAGCGCAGATGAAAATCCAGTTCATTAGCATTCCGATGGTGAGACTAAACTCAAAGGCTAAGAAGCCTATCCAACACCTACTCAATGTGTGTCTACTCATTTTCATGCTCCTAAGGAACGAAATACATTGTTCGTACGACAAGGCGTCTATCTAAGAGAATGAAGGAAAACCACCCGGTCGGGTTTAGAAGTGGAAGCGGAAAAACAGCCCTCTTCAATGGCCGCGCAACTAGCCGATACAGGGCACGCCACAGTGATCACTGCTGCTTCCTAAAATTATCTATCGGGCCCCAGAGGACTGCTGGAACTGCGTCCGCAAGCGACTCCTAGAATCCGCTGAAGCAATTGCCATCCGACTGTATGAACCGGAGCTATGTGTTCAGAAAAAGCTAACTAACGGCTTGGGTCTGCCCTGGCCCAAAGGGCCAGTGACCTCTGACCCGAGAGGTCACACGCGGTCGGTGGTCGTGATTTAACAGACAGCACTGTCAGCATCCAATTAACTCGCTCTAGGAGTAACGACTTGTAATGTCTGTTTGCACATTTTGGTTTGCATCTAATAAGATGTAGATGCAGATGAAGTATCGAAAACACATGTTTGCTTACCATAACTCCTGATTACTTGCTCAGCTCATCCATCTTTTCGCAAAAGTTACGAAAACATACTACTTACTCAAACCAAATTTATGCTTACACTGACGACGAATATATCAGATGCTGCCCTCATAACTTGTGGACGATATTACACAATTTCCCAACGCTAGTGATACTTGACGTTTTACAGGCATGATTGTTTTGCCTAACCTTCCTCCATACAGATAAGAAGAGATTCCTCCCTACACAGTAGTTGTCAGTCTTTGATTGCATGCAACTGTATTTGGTGCTTACTAGAAGTGATTGCAATGAAACTGTACCAGATAGTACACTAATTGTCGTTCGGATTGTGCTAAAGTTTAGCAAGTGGATTTCAAGTACATTAGTAAGTACCTCACTATGGAATTCATGGATCTTGGTAACTATACCTTTAGGTGTTCTTTCGTACCTCACTTGTTTTAACCTTTTATTTATGTTCACCCTTATTTCTTTTCACCGTCGCAAACATTTAGCGGTGCATTGTCGCAGTCGGATTCCCTTTACTCAGATACTTTGGCCTTGGTTTCTACTTTACATTGAGTTCCACTTGTTGATCAATCACCCTTACCGCGTTTCTTCTTTTCACCATTCCTCACGCAGTGTACCGAATACACTGGATTCTGACAGATTTCCAAAAGCGGCCGGCGATACGCGAATGACCCAATCATGTTACCAGACTACAGACTCGCGGGACTCTGCGGTTGATTTACAAAGTTTGGAGGGAATCAGTACTCCCACGTTGAACGGTCATCCACGCGAATCGCTTACGACCGCTTCAAGCACATCGATCGACTCTACGTCTGATGCGGAACCCACCGCTTCGCATGCGTCAAGCACAAGACTCGCGGCTAGGATGGACAACGGTGATGGCACAGTACCCAGGGTGAAGACAGTATTACGTCGTTTGGCGCGGTGTCTCGCAGTCCGTATCGCCCTCAAGCGTCAGCATTTAGCAGAAGCACATCAATATGTGGCTCGCAATACAACTGAAGAAAGATGGGTATATTCCACTTTCCATGTTATGCAAGCATCTATCCATTATCGTGTGAAAAGCAATTTTTGTTCAATTTTGTCGGGTGATACCCGATCCATCCAGCCCACTAAATGCAAACCGCTATGCGCTATGCGCTATAGAGCATATTTATCTGTTAATTACTCTATCCAACCGCCTTGGTACAGCAGACATGTAACCGCGTTTGAAATAATTTGCATCCTACCATGAGCACACATAAGAATTGGTCAAAACAGAGTCACTTTTAGAGCATCAGATTTGAGAAGCTCAGAGCTGATCAGAGCATATTGTTTCAAGTGACTTTGTGCTGCATTATTCTCCAAGCGTCACTACAGCTAGCCAACTTATTCGTGTACGAAAGGTACCAGCGGCATGAGGTGGTATATCTGTAGGTCTGGCTACATCGATCTGATCCCGGTTATATACCAACAAACCATAACATTTCTGTTTACTTTACCTAGTCAATTACCACGTTACACTGGACTGTAACAGACCAAACACTTTCACTGTGGTTGACAATTACTTTACGTCTAACAGTGATGATAAAGAAGGAAGATGAACGAAGAGTATCGTTAGGAAATCGGGGGAAAGTTGAAATCTCGGAATGTACTTGTCTTCGGTCTAAAGCGGTGGACGAAAAGCAAGTGTCCTTAACTTAAGCCCGTTAGGATCATGTACGTAACCACGAAACTCTCAGCTAGGAAGACAGAATCTGTCAACGCCACTGATCCACTTTACCGTACCTTTGTCCCATGCCATTGTTTGATCGTCCTGAGACCCCTACTCACATTAGCATCATCATCGGAACACGTGGAAGTAGATGGTCATAGGTATGTGGGCAACACTGCATGGCCAGCTCAGCTGCTTCAAATTTGTCGCGGTGATTTCTATTCAATCCGCTTCAACGAACATAAGCTTGACAGCCTCAGTACTCCCACTATCTTTGTGTGATACTTTGCAGGCACTGTTTATCAGAGGCTAGTTGTCTCGATATCTTCAGTGCAGACCATACCCTGTTTCACGCAATGACTGCACATTCCCCTCACTAAACAATGTACTTATGCTAAAACACTTGGAACATACTTGGAACTGATCAGGATATCCTTGTTTCCTAGGAATTTAGAGAAAAGATATATTCATCAACTGATTTTCTTAAAACTCGCTGAAACAATGCGTATAAATGTCATGGTTTCCACAGGCGAATAAAGTTGGAAAACTACGTTAGACTTATTGGTACGATAGCTAGCTTGTCAGGCAACTCAGTCGACATGTTCAACTTCAAGTTCGGGTGGGAATGGAACGATAGGTAAATCTTGTGAGTGTTCCATCTTGAGTAGATTGTTGAGCCAGGAATTGATGAAGTGCTCAGAGTTCTTGATGGATCTAAAACGGAACATCCATATCGCACCCTGGCCAACCAGATAATGCTTACATTTCCTGCCTTAGCAGGTTGGAAACAGCTAAATTAAACCACCGCCTGGATAGCACTAGTAGCTAATCAAAGATTTTGTAAAACTATATCGTATCCTCCCAGTCGTGAATCTTTACGTCGCACTTTATAAATGTGAAGTATTGGCGACATCTAGCCTGCAGCTGCTCCAAATGGTGCCATAATGAACATGCTCAAAAACGGCCGCTTGGTCAGTAGGATTGTTTAATGTTTAAAAGGTTTTATTTATAATACTGACGGTAGATCTTATTGATCGATAGGTCTTTCATATACAGTCGAACCCGTTTTATTGCCCCCCATCGGGAGATTTCATAAATGGGCAATAAAGCGGGGTGGCCATGCATTGCTATCGCCATTTCTCCAAAAGGGAAGCGACCGCTGAATTGTTGTACAGTAGAGCATTTGAATTGTAACTTGCTAAAAAGGAGAAAATACGTAATTGTAACTAAAGCCTATAGAAGTGCGTGACCTTTAATTTAAAAACCATATCATAAAGCATCTTACCTGGATAGCACTAGAAACTGGAGCTACTCTATATTTTGCTGAGCAAACCATCCGGAGTCAGTTGTACATTATTTTGAGCAGCTACTCCAGTCACTTTTGCACTGATGAAGTTCAACATGTAAAAGTCCGTAGCTATCTAGATCATTCACAAAGTTGTTTGCTCTTGAATGCGAAATGCGCTGCTTGCTTTTACTCCCGGAGGCATGCGGCACGTCATGCTCTGAGTCACTGCCTACTTTCTGTTCTAGTCGGTTCTCTAAAAGTTGACTGGCGATTTCATATTCAACAGTTGTCAGATTTGAAGTACAGTCCACATCGTAGTCAATAGCGACGAACTGTTCTACCTTTATGACTGAGATGGTGCAAACGCTGATCTCGCCCTCAGCGATGATGGCATCATCAGAAAGTGCATCGGATGCCAGCCGACTGAAGCTAGCATGCCGAAAGCGCTTTTATTGTTGCACAGGTAACTTATCTACAACATTTTGAAACGAACTGAATAGCATCGAGCACAGAACTCTTGGTGCTGACATCCACCGTTGACGATGAGCCAGATAACACATTGTCTTCGATATGATGAAGACTTTGGTCCACAATTTCCTTATTGTAACGGATTTTTAGATCCATAATCACACCTTGGTCCAAGAGTTGAAGGATGGTGGTCGTGCTTGCCGACAAAAATGTCATTTGAATATTTTTCAAGCCTTCTACCTGTGGATGCGTTGTGCAATTATCCAACAGCAGCATAATATTTTAGCCACTTTGACCTAGCTCCTTGGCCCATTCAAGGACCCACTCGATGAAAAAGTCCTTCGTCATCCAAGCATTTTTTAGCTCTGTAAGTTACGGGAAGTGTGTTCACGTTCACGCCAATAAGACTTGGTGGGTTGTTACTTTTTCTAATCGAAACCAGTTTGCTTGTATCTGTGTGTGACATATTTGCGCAACACAGGAGGGTGATCCTATCCACGGCTTTTTTCGATCCGCTGAGCCAGTCGGCAGAAAAACACAAAGAGCCCTCTGGAGTTGCTTAATAAAAAAACCTGTTACTTCTGCATTGTACACGTTGCCGTCATCAAATGCATTTAAAAGTTCAGGCCGTCGATCTTACAACCAATTTACACAGACTGCTCTGTGAGCGGAATTCTTTTCGGCATGCGCACGTTTCTACCTAATTGGATTCCTATGCTTCCATCTTTACAACCATCATTCTGTGGCAGTCAAGGATTTTCTATATCTTTCCCCGAATTCCTCTTTTTCTTCCGTAGCGTTTTGTAGCTGTTTGGGTTGCTCACGAACAGATATCACCCAGTCCAAGTTTTCTGTCAAGGACAATTTTTTTCCGTTACTGACCATACTTGTGGGTGAGCAATAGACTACTGACAAATGCTGAGCGGGAAGATTATGTGACTTTGATCAGTTCACTAGTTTTGAATAGGGCCGAGGGCTTGCCCACAACCGTCTGCACATTTAGCTTCCTTGTGTATTGAATGACCTAGGTAAGCTTCTCAGATCTGGCAATAACGTCGCCGATATCTTTCTTGTTCTTGACTCGATCGATCTGGCTAGCTGTAGGTTAAACGTAATAAAAGATATTTGGAGCGAGGGCGTAAAATAGGCAAACCGACGAAGACACAGTCAACGCAGCTGGGCAATTAAGCAGTGAGACGACTCCGGCAATGGGCATTTAGACGGAGAAAATTTAGCATCTTTAGGAGGAAAGCATTTGTATTTTGTAATACTGGACACTAAAGCAGGAGGCTATAAACCGGGTGAGCAATAAAGCATGTTCGACTATATATATATATATATATATATATATATATATATATATATATATATATATATATATATATTACCACACAGCTTTATTCAGTCATGGGCCCGCTAGCATTAACATATATTTCGACATGATAGTCATTGCCGAGGTGATGTAGGGTGATGCAGAGTGTCCGCATCATCTACTGGACATAGTTGTTCGAGCAAAATTTAACTGAATGAGAAGGGAATCCCTCAATGCTTGTCGATAAGCCATAGAACAAAGAGTTGTGTCGCAGGGTTACTAAGACGTCCATACTTCATATACGACGAAAAGTTTTGTTTAATAGCTATTGTGAGAAATGCGTTTCGAATGGTATATTAATTACTTATGCAGTTCTACTTTTCCCTTCGGCTAATTTTAGCGCATTTCAAAATCCTCACCTGCTACCAAGAGAGGTACTGATCTCGAATGCAAGTTAGCGGGGCAGTTGTAAATGCGGAAGTATGTAAATGAACAAGACGAGGTCCACAGGTCACTGCTAGATCTTTTTCTTAATATCGTAGCCGTTTCAAGTGCTCTTCACATTACATGAGACTACCTGCGGTTTCCAACTTATTTCGGAGGCTACGGTTACATCTTCTTTCATCATAGACACGTGACAAGACGCGTTGCCTAAAACACACTTATTCTCCGATATTCGTCGGTAAGTCTTATCGTTACCACTTGCTGTCCTTGAACTTTGAACAAAATCAGCAGATCGGACATACACCAAGATGTTCTGTGGTACCCTAGTCGAATGGTGACCGAAAGGACTGCGCGCTTGTCTTGGGAACCAGAGGTCCCCATTTCGAATCTTCATAAGCTCGGGGACCTCGCGGTATTCCCAGCCCACGTGCGTCCGGCGGTGGTCGAGTAGAAGCGATGGGTAGGTACAGGGTGCCGAAGTACTACCGGTACCTATTTCATGAACTCTGATAGATCTCCTGCACACATGTTGACCTCCGTAACGACTGACCACCTGATCATGGCAAGTTATCTGTTACTTTGTCTCGCCCCCTACTCACCGTCTAAACTTTGTCCCGGACAGACAGGTAGTGCTGAGAACTTCACATGATCTGTACAGTTACATGTGGTTAAGCTGTTGACGGTATCAAACAGTGGGGGCTTAGAAAAGCTTGCTCTTTCTCCCTGGACCCATACTGAGCAACTGTGATACCTACAGACTAGTGGTATACATCGCTACAATAAACACAATGCAAACATCAGCGATAAAAGAGACGTTTTGCATTCAGTCAGTAGTCTTGATTAAATATAAGCATCTTGAATTTGAACGAGGTTCTTTCGGAATAAGTAGCGCTATGCTATCTCAGATTAGGGTAGTCAATCAACTATGTTATTTAATTTTACTGAGATAGCACAATTCATAAATGTACCTAAGTATGTCCTAACTGGACAACTGGATTTTCCTCTCATCCAGGAGGAAAAGAAGAGCATCACTTTCGCGTGAATAGATTGGTGTCCGATAAAATTTCTCATTGAGATACTTTCACTTGGCGCATCGAGTTAATTTTGCAGCAACCTTATGTTTCAAGCTTTTATGTGCTACATCGGACTTTTCCACACCAATCATCACTAATATATTAAGTGAAAGAAGTAGACAGGAATGAATTAGTTGGCTAACAGTATGCAAGACCCATTTGTGCCGTGCTTAATATTTGACAGGGACTAATCCAAAGAGTATTTTGTCTGAAAATGTCAAGCGACATAGACGTTCCATTGTCCGTCAAGCAGTGAATACGATGCATTCCTCACGGACCGAAACAAATCAACGGATCAATCGCAAGTTTGACGGAAAGATGTCCATGTAATTGGTTAATTGTACTCGTCCTGCAACTAATAAATTGGGTGTCGGCTGCTTTTAATGATCTCCTGCCACAGCGCATTGTTCTTACATGGACTAAGATCCGGGCGTTGGAACCAGTCCAGATCCACAGGAAGGTAAGTTGTGGTCCATCCTAAAATTCTGTCGTAATCGAAGCACGCTATCAGTACTCCCAGATGCGAACTGTGCCTTTTCGCATCTTTCTCAAGGGAATAGCATGGCATAGATGTATGCTGCGAGATAAGTGCTTACTAGTTCCCAATTTCGAGCAGATTTCTATTCTCCAAGAAACAGTATCTTAACCGCTGTCAACCAATAAGCCGCACACCAACGCTGGGATCTGCCATCAGAGTTTCCGTGGTTGAATTATAACATTGCAGGAGTTTATCTTAGGGCACCTAATTTGAATGGATAGCTGCTACCGTGGCTATTGTGTTCGTCTGCATTTAGGAGAATGTTGTTAGCCTGAACTCACTCTGAGAACGCCGTGGTGCCTAATAGTTACTCAGTTGGGGTTAAAGCACATAAACCAAGAAATGAGTAGATAGTGATCATATGATCGAATCACACTGTTCTCATCGGCAGCTGAACTCGATGCTTATCAAATGTCGGTCAAGCATATTTCGAGATGCCGAAAATCTAAAAACGTGTCTTCCACAGTTTTGCATGTGATCAGGACACATCTGTCACGGTGTAAAGCAAGTTACAATCAGGTGATCTTGCTGAGCATTTCATTACCTCATGCTTGTCCATAGACCCGATGCGGGTGCGTCCTTATGTCTGTGTTGACCCCCCATGTCCTTAATTCGTCCCCTGTCGGATTTTTCCGTTGCAGCTCCGGAACAAGCTGAACGAATTGTTCACCATGAACTACGCTACACCCCACATACCATCAGCCACGTGCTCCCGTTGTGACAGCAGCTACACCGCCAGCGAACCGTCCGATATTCCAACTGCTCAGGTTGTAACTCGATTCGACCGGTGGCATAACAATATCGTATCTGTGCTTCAACTTCTGTGTCAACTCGCTCGTAGATTGGCTTGGATCGACGCGCAGTTAGTCAGTGTAAACAAAAGAGAAGGCGGACCGAACCGCTGGTTCAGAAGCGCTGACACGGTACTTCATCTGTCAGACACCCAACCTTCGATTGTGAGTACTTGATTTTTCGGGTTCTATGATGCAGTTGTAGCATAGTTCAGTAAAAAATTTTTGCAAAAAACCTACTCACATAAATTTGACTCTGTGGCACAGATTAATATGTGTAAAGCTAATAGACGTTGTGACTGAAATAAAACCTATTTTACTGAATGTAGTCCTCTTTAGATAGTTAGCTTGACTGAGAACGTATAATGATGTCCTCACTACCGAGCTGACTGCTGCACACAAAATTATGAGGTGTCTACTTAGTGAGTTCTCTCTCTCTCTCTCGAGTTTAACCATTTTCACCGAAATCAGCTCAAACCTTTTACGTAAATATTTGAGGGTTTCCTCGCCCACGGATGGGCAATACTGATAAGTGTTAATAAGATGGAACGACCGGCTTGTGGTTTTCGGGGTATGTGGAGAATTATCTGAATCGGGGGCGGCCGCCAGGAAACCCCCAATTATGAGTTCAGTTGGTTTTTTAAACGATAAATATATTCGTTGTGAATCCGAGAAGGTTTGATAAGTTGTCCTATATGAGTACGTTCCCTTCCCAGTCCTTTTGGCGCACTGCTTTCGAAGAAACATACAAAACGTGCAGCTAGACTTCGAATCGATATCTTCGTGCACAGGATCATGATCGCCTCGCTGATCGTTACTATGCGGAAGGATCGAACCCACGTATCGCCAAGCCCAGTTCGGTGTAGCGTGGACACGACGTAACTAGGGTACTACTTAGGGAATCACACGGCACATCAGGTGTCTGCTGGAACATTATGATGCTGTTCCAAAGTCATCTTGCAAGCATGCCAACAATAAAGACACGCAAGTATACATGCGCAGACGAATTCCTTCAGTTCGTACATTATTGAATTGGTGAACAGGTAGGTAACGTTATCGAGAATGTTCTATAATGCACATTTCGGATGTGTGACCAACTTGGATGGCAGCTAGGATAATGTCGGTTAGCCGTAGAGTGTGCAAACGAGATAAAATAGTTAAGGTTGTTGAACGTATAGCCTACATGCTACCATGCAAACAGTCATCTACTATTCATAAATGTGTTTCTAGTTATTTTGTAACACAACGCCAAATGCCAGACAAATACTAGTTTGACTACCTAATCACCAATCCACCTGATTAAAACAACGAATGTAGCTGTGCATGTTCTCGTGAAGTTGGGTACTAGACGTGGTGCGTGCTCGGCGTACGAAACCAAGTTAATGTGATGCAAGTTTTCCTTAGTAACGATCATCCGTCTGCTGAAACCCGTAATCAACGCGGCTGTATCCAACGGGCAACCGCTATATCCGTATTTCGATCGTGTTCGGTCGATCCAGACGTGTTGGTCAGACACGCAACAACACTTTCCAGTTACACCTGGCGGCGTCGACGTGGTCTAAGTTCGGCAATGTTAGTTCTGTCACAAGGGCATCACCCTTTAGTACCTCTGAGAGATATCTGAATTCTAACTGACAAGTATACCTAAGTCTGAAGAACTCCAAAGCACCAACCTGCTCAAGGTTTTAGCTCTTGTTCCTCCGCCTACACTGAAAGTACTCTTCCATTACGTCATCTAAGTAAAAGGAACGCGGTCGACTAATGACAAATGAGTGTAACACGTTTGGTCTTTCACTCTGTGTGAAATCAATCAGCCCATGAGGCATGAAGCAAATCGTTCCACCCACATCATATATGAATAAACGCCTTTGCCTAAGCAAGTTTAAAAGATGTGCCTACTTGTATAGCTTGAGTGGTTTTGGATATCGGGTGCTTTTGACGACATATCGCACCATGTGTACCTCATACAAGAGTATTCAGTTCACATAGCCCGTTCTGAAGCATTATTAATTACCAAGTGAAGTGAATCGGTTGATTTGCGGCACCCACCATCCCGATATATACCGATAGTCATTTCACAGTTAGAATCACAATAAGTCATTCTTGAATTCTGGATATACTATGCTTCAGTAAATGATCCACTTTGTCTACTCCTGAAAATTGGCGTTGGCAGTGAAGCCGGCTTGCGGTATACGAATGTCGTTCATCAGCATTTAGTTGACATAGTGGAGGTCAGTGGAAGTATAAAGTGGCACCATCATCACAACATACAAATTATATACAGTGAAATAAAATATTGGAAGTACCAGCCACACATTATAGGTCTCGAGCTATAAAACTACTGAATTGAACCACAGCGCACGAACCAGCGTACTCGGTCACAACTTTAGAACTAAGAACATGTACCCGCTCGTGCTTCTTTTCGTACTTCCATATGTTTTGTTACCAGTCACAATGTCACATTCCAACGCGTTCTGGCTTACGTAAGAAGGTGTAGGGAAGTGGGTGCGATATCCGACTACTTATCGAAACTTTTGGGTGGAAATGACTGACTTAAAAACTATGCTTTGATCGCCGGACAAGAAGGGTACAACATTCCCGGCTACTTCTTGACATGTCATAATACTCACCTTTTTGCGGTTGGTTCGCCTTATTCTGCTATCATGATTGAGTCTCAGTAGGAGCGGTAAACCTAACTGGGATCATTCAATAGTTTATTTGCCATGACCCATAACCTTCCGTACCACAGCATCAACACCTCGAGTGATAGCGATATGCTCCACTGCCCGACAAATTGGGGTCTCTAGTGAAATGGGTTGACAATTTCAAGAAGACCGACAAACCTGTATAACATATTAAGCTCGGGAGAAGACGTCAGCACGGAACAACCTGAGGATGGTCCTCTGCAAAGGACTGACGGCTGACACCGGATCAGAGTACTTGGAACAGCCGAGGAGGTCTCGGACCAGCACTTCGAGGCCATGCTCTCACGAAGAGGTTTACGAGTACAACTTGTGTTATGTCCTCGTATAAACCTGACTCGCCAACAGCATGTCTGAGAAGGTGTGCATTTATCAATGTTTCATGTTAGCCTATTCCTAGTGGAACAGTTAGGACCTTCATGGAATCATGTGTTTACTTCCCTAGTGGTCCTGTGATCACACAGCCGCGCGATATGTGTTAAGACCATCAGATAAAAGCACAACCACTAGCGCGTTACTCTTTTTAGGTCGTTCACTGAGGAAAATTATTAGTGTGACCTTAATATTGAGCCTTGGGTAGGCTATAGTGGACACAAAACTGATACCACCGGTAACCTAACAGTCTTTTCTAAGTGTAGTTTACCAAGTACCGGGTCACCGACACTATAACGCTAGATTCTACAGTGTGGTATGCGCTAACCTAAGGGACTAAATTTCGTCACACAAACAGAGAGCTACTGATGTCTTGGATGACTGTTTTACTCTTCCGGCAATCATCAGCGATGCTTATTCCGTTTGGAACGCGACGCACGACTATTAGAGTCCGTCGTTGAAACCACCAGGCCGCACAGAATAAGTAATAACAGTCGTAATCAAGTATATAGCTATTAGAGAGAGTAGCATCCATCCTCCACATTTCTGCGCTTCCCAAAAAATGGAGAAGGCAGGGTTGGCCCTTGAGACGCGGCAATCCTTGCTCAGCCACAAACGTTCGAAGGCACTATAGGCTACCTTAAGGATGTACCAATTCTAAGGAGTAGTGGAAGCAGGGTTTGTGCCAAGCTCTTCATGGCCATACAATCGTATGCGTTCAGACATGCTAGACAGATAATTAGATTTCCACTGCACCGTCAACTCCTCCAGCCCCACTGCCAAATGCAAGCAGGTTATTGATATGCACCGATGCTGACAAAAAATGTGCCGCTTAGGCGCGATAATACGGTACTTTTCAGACAGTCCATCGATAAGTTTTTTGTACATGTTTCCCTGACCATAGAAAGCACAGCAAGTAGCGTAACTAGGCTGTAATCTACCAGTTAAGTAGGTTGGCGATTCATGGCTTCCATCATGACGGACCTTGGCACCAGTTTGGATAGTAATAAAAGAACTTAGACAACAGCTGTATTGGACCTATGTTAGTCCTTTTCAGTTTCCCGTTCCAGTAGACCTGTGAGTGCACGAATGCACAGCTTTCTTCAACATGGCATATGTGACGAGGGTGTGGCCTAATCTCGTTGATGGGCAGAGTAATCTAGCACGCTATCCATTGGAAGTGAGGAGAATGAAAACGAAGCGCCCTAACTTTTTAAACTGCCGCAGGTGTGACGCGGTTATTGAAGTTTCCGCTTCTAAACGATATGTCCTTTTGGGTCTTTCTTCGTGGGTCAGGCGAGCACAGCAGCTATGCTTAGCCTAGTATGCAACTCGCGATTAACGGTTGAAAGGTGCATGGTCGAACCACTTAGATTGCGTGGTTGGAACAACAGCTTTTGACAATAGTCCTCTTGAGACTCCAAATTCCGTGAATGCATTTCCAACTACAATGAAGACTTTGCTCAGCTTTACTCTGAAGTAGACTGTTCACCCTACATTTTTACTCACTGTATTGCTGATTGTTGGAAGCCAGCTGAGCGCACATTCTGAGGCGTATTCAGTGTCTCAAAATCACAAAAACGGTGTACTTACAAGAGGTGAGATTTCCATGTAATTGGAGTAGACATGGGATAAATTTTCTACCCATTTCAAGAATACTTTGTACAGCGAATATATCCATTCTACTTTGGTTGCTCAGGTAGACAGAAGAATACAACCAACGTTTGCTTCCAATCAAGTACCGTGTAGGCCCAACAAAGAAGTTTGGTTGAAACGTTGGCGGAAGCCAATTCCCCTCTGCTATTGGTGATGCTGCAATGTTACCGCAGTGCTAAGCTATACTGTACACAATCGTTCAACCGCTTGTACATGGCACTGTGAACGACCGATATTTTTAGTGTTTTTAATGGCTCAGACAGCTGTATTTTCTGGAACAACGTATTTCTGATTGAGGCTAAGGCTGTTGACAGTTTCAAGTTGGATAAGTGTGCTACCAAATCGCGCCAGCTACTCTACTTGGATACCAAACACGTCTCCTCTGAGAGCTGCAAACGCTCATTCGCCCTGTGGTGTGCAGATAATTGCCGTACTCATGAAAACTCAGTTATCAAGCGAACATGTCTTCAATAATTCTTCCTGAGCCCTATACAATTATATGCAAAAAGGACACAGCACAAGGATCGGTAAAACACTCCGTTTACAGTCAGTGGTTGCTGTCAATCACTTTCCACTAGGATACAGTTGTAGCACATGCACAATTTCTTGGCTCGGACGGAGCAGTTCGTATGGGCCAAGTCAAGCACAGCATGTGAGTGAATCTTTTCTGGCCACACAATTCCGGCTCGTATAGTCTGATCGCTAAACTCTCAGCCGATTCAAGTAGGCATGTTCTCAAATTAATGAGATGCGGTCCAGCGAAGTTGATCCGATGTTTGCGAAGTGCGCAGCCTAGTCTCAGCTGCGTTAGTTCCATTAGACATCCATTCCACTAGACATGCTCCATCTGCACCCTTCTAGTATCTCTGACAACCAGCAAGGAGTCTTTGATTGAATTCATCTTCGTCCGATTCATTTAGAGCAGATCTGCACAGTGATATGTAACTTATGAAAGGTGCAGGATTATCGTAACATGAAAGTCTCTTAAAGAGGTATAGCCCCACACAATAAATATCATGTTTTTTCAAAGGTAACCAAACGGTGAAGCAGTTCAACTCGAGCGTACAAACCCCTCAGTTAAATGCACACTGAGTGAGGTGCTAACATTGGCTGAAATCAACGGTAAGGCCTATTTGGTGGGGCAGTTTAGGGAAGTGGTAAACGAGGCGAACACTCATGCAGTTAAACAACCCATCCGCTACTTTCACACGATGCATGAAATGAAATTTGGAAGCTTGGAACCAGGTGGCATTAATTGTTTGTTGTTGTGATGACCAGATGTTTTAACTGACCGTCGCGATTACCCACAGGTGTGAGAGGATGGTCAGATGGTTGGCAATGTGTTTAAACCACGTTAAGTGAATTACTGTTGACTACCTATCCCATGGCCCTAGCTTAAGACCCTCAGTAGAAGTGAATACAGAAGTGAAGAATATGAGTTACGGTCTGATAGCATCGCACAAATGACTTTTGACATAATGAAGGTACTTCGATGGAATGTATATACTAAGCTGCTCAGTTGATTGGTAGGTCATGCGCAACAAAGAGTGGCTGGTGTGAGCTGATTCAAATGGTGCCCAAGTTGACCAAATTTTTAAACAATTCATTGTACAAGTAATAGGTATGGGTTGCAGTACATCTCATCGAACTACTTCAGTGTCATTTCAAGCACCTTCAAGTAGTTGTACAGCTGGTGGATGCGAAAACTGTACATTGTTCCGCACCCAGCTTTTATTACTCACAACAGCTAGAAGTTATTGCTTACGTTCATAAATGGGTCAAACTCCGACGTACATCTCCATAAAAATGATCGTGCAATGCACTGTTCCGAAGCGTAAAACACCTCGTGCAACCGAGTTCTGAGTATTCAACTTAACCTCAATGTTGGTTAACAGGCATTCCTTCTTTTGGTGGACGAGTTTCTCGATATCAGTGCGTGCACAGCGCATGCCGTTCTCGTTCAGTCATAACACTGAAATCTGTGATGAATCTACTGTAAGTAGGCGTATCTGAATACTACACCAACTATGATATAGGGCCGAATTTCTAGTGTTTTAATACTGTGACGCACACGACCTATGAGCTTTGCACTATCATTACTTCTGATCACCGTGGACTAATTGGCTCACTAAATCAAGTTTTGCACGTTCTATTGACGAACAGGAAAGTACACCTAGATTGTGGTCCGGTGAAGATACACGTGCATGCTCCGACTTTCTTCATTGGTTCATCAACTAAACACAACTGTCCATCATTAGTAGAAACTCGGATTTCTACTTTATGCTCAAGAATGTCCTCTGCTAAAATTTTCAGGAGCATCTCAAGAATCAGAAATCGGCTTTGCAAGCTAAAATTAAGGAAGCGCAAGAACTTCGTGCTGGTTTGGAAACATGTCGCATTCGATTGTTGGAGAACATACCTCCAGGGCTGAAAGTTGAGGATCCCAATACCTTTGAGCCCCTTTCCAACGGAACATCCGCTCCACCCGTCTTCGACAAAGCGAATGCGACATTACCACACACCCACTCCGATACGCTACAGATTCGACCGTCTGTAACTTTACGCGAACGGATAACGGTGCATTTGAACAACACTCTAAATTGGCTGATCACTTCTCAGGTAGGCATTTGAGCTCCCATGTATTCTTTTTGTAATGAAAATGAGCCATCATGTATCCGTTAAAATACGGTGTTGATCGAATGATTTCAGGAATACGAAACTGCGTCTTAAAGGTGCAAACGTTTCCTGAGCATTATCGCGGACCTGATATCAAGCCCCTTTGTAGAGGCCACCCATTTTTGCTTGAATCTTCGGACATAAGAATCAGGTAGACAAGCCAACTGCAGGAGACCGTAGAACTTGTGTCGAATTGTTGGGTACTGTTGTATCTGCCCAAGTACCTAGCTTTATTCACTGCAGCATGTGGTGTAGGTTCCAACTGATACTAGCCACAAAACACTGACTCCGTAGACCTTAATAAATCAGTACTATATGTCGACGGGGTCCACAGTGAATCCAAAACGAAGCCTAGGCCTCGAGCAAAACATATTTTCACAAACCGAAGTATTTTTATATATCGCATATGAGTTTGAATCACTCACAACGTGATGCATTTCCTCCGACTAGTTCCTCCTGACTCTGTTAACGTCAGTCCAAGTCGATTATGCACTATCCTTCAGCTTCCGTCCGAGGCCATGGATTAGCGTTCAGTGTGTTGGCCCAAGTTCGTTCATCTCGTCCGTTCGACTACTCACTATCATACTCCGTATGGTGTCGCACCACCATCACACTACGCATTGATTATGTTAGCACCATTTCATCCGAAGGGTTGCTTCGCTCATTGCGCAAAAGAGATGAACAATCATCACGGAAGCGTTAAGGTTTTACAGTGGAAACGCTTGTCTGTTCAGTTCCGGCTGAACATGTACGAAAGGAACGTTTCACAGGGTCATTTCGTAATACAAGTCTTCTAAACAGTATTGCTGAGCAACAACGCCCTCAGTCTGAGAGGAATATTCCCCATGTTGGTGAGGGTTTCAAATTACGGCAACTGGTGGGTTGGTCCGCCTGTTCACAGCTTGTTAGATTCTCCAGTTAAAATCAGATATTACATAGCCGAATCATCCATACCACATGTCTATAGGTTGGTTCTCTTGTGACCCATCTGTCACGATGATAATGGCCATTTTTGGCTATATTCGCACCACTTGACTGAAAGTGACTAGGTTTGAATTATGCTACCGATACCCAACCACATTCACATGTTCCGAGATGTTTGCCTTACCAGATAACTGTGAGTTTTCCAGAACTGGGTTTTATATAACGCTTTGAATACTGAACGAATTTTCGCATGTTCCATTGTAAGTGGTTCACTGTAGTGAAATGAATGTGCCCCACAACTTTCTCTCCCACAGTGCGTTGAAGCAATAGATTTGGTAAATTATGCAGAGAAACACATTTCTCGATGTGTTTGGTAGTGCCAACTATAAATAGGTGGCATTGTAACAGCGCTTTTGCTTTCCACTTTCAATTCACTGTTTTTGGGGCAACCTGCGACCCTGACTAATGTGCGATGGCTTCCGGAACTTCGGTCACCGGCATTCTCTGGTACTGTTTACTAGGCTGCATTGAATACTGCTTAAGAAAACAGCACAAATGGGGCTAGTGTCTCAGGTAATTTTTCCAAAGTAGATTCTACTAAACTGGTGTCAAACATGAGAAAAGACAATGAAGATGCGATTAACCTCATTTAGGAACCAGCAAAAGTATACGCAGCCCGATCCTGGTCCATAAATTCAAGTAACGATTAGCTGCCACTAGCCCATATGCCGAGGCTGCACCCATCTACACCAGTCACCATGTGTTATCTTTGGTGCCAAGTTTCGGTCGATTTCCGAAGTGACATCTTCCGCTAGTCGAGAACTTTTGTTGCTAACCAGTCTGCCATGTCTTGTATATATATATATATATATATATATATATATATATATATATATATATATATATATGTGCCCCATGCTGAGGCTGATGTTGCATTCTTGATGCTTCTTCACCGCAGTTGGGCTAAATCAACTTACACTTAAACTAGGTCTTTTTAAGCTGGATAAATTTCATTCCGCTTTATTTGGTTTGTTCTGCCTCCCTGAATAATGTTCTATTAACTGGCCACGTTGCTTACACTAATTTCGCTTATCTTCGGTAATTTTGTTGCGTTTGTAGCATTTTAAGTAACTTGTGGACATTTCTTACTTATCACGGATTTGTTGCTAACCAAATTACTTCATACGGTAATTTAGCGAAGAGTTATGCCACCGTATCTGTATGCATTATTGGATTTATTTTCTTTCAGCATGTCGTTTAAATTGAACGGCTGTTGTTTGATATCCCTGGTATGGTTGCGCTTGATGTGTATGTTGACAAGGTGCCTACCTGTCTTTTACCCACTACATCGTTCATACTGGCTCCAGGAGACAGTTGGTCGTTGCTGGAGGGGACGGGTGCACGGTTCTTGTGGCCGTGCTAGGCTCAAAGAGCGGTTCCATGCACTCAGTGTGGAGCGGACTACGGTCCAGCCACCGCCTTGTGTGCGGTTGATTTCCCAAATACAGCGTGCTTGTGTTTGGCTGTGAAGGAGTGTGGGCCGGCTCCGTTGGTGGAACGTGGTTCCCATCCGCATGCCTCCCGGTCTTATTCCTTCGGGTTTACACTGGATATTGGGTGTGTGGATGGAGCTGTGGGTGGTGCAGCGCAAGCCATCCATGGTCCCTCTGTAGGCGCAGGCGTCCTGTGGCTTGCCACAGTGACAGGCAAATCGGAAACCGGATGCCGCCAACCATGTATGTATGTGTGCCCCATGCTAAGGCTGATGTTGCATTCTTGATGCTTCTTCACCGCAGTTGGGCTAAATCAACTTACACTTAAACTAGGTCTTTTTAAGCTGGATAAATTTCATTCCGCTTTATTTGGTTTGTTCTGCCTCCCTGAATAATGTTCTATTAACTGGCCACGTTGCTTACACTAATTTCGCTTATCTTCGGTAATTTTGTTGCGTTTGTAGCATTTTAAGTAACTTGTGGACATTTCTTACTTATCACGGATTTGTTGCTAACCAAATTACTTCATACGGTAATTTAGCGAAGAGTTATGCCACCGTATCTGTATGCATTATTGGATTTATTTTCTTTCAGCATGTCGTTTAAATTGAACGGCTGTTGTTTGATATCCCTGGTATGGTTGCGCTTGATGTGTATGTTGACAAGGTGCCTACCTGTCTTTTACCCACTACATCGTTCATACTGGCTCCAGGAGACAGTTGGTCGTTGCTGGAGGGGACGGGTGCACGGTTCTTGTGGCCGTGCTAGGCTCAAAGAGCGGTTCCATGCACTCAGTGTGGAGCGGACTACGGTCCAGCCACCGCCTTGTGTGCGGTTGATTTCCCAAATACAGCGTGCTTGTGTTTGGCTGTGAAGGAGTGTGGGCCGGCTCCGTTGATGGAACGTGGTTCCCATCCGCATGCCTGCCGGTCTTATTCCTTCGGGTTTACACTGGATATGGGGTATGTGGTTGGAGCTGTGGGTGGTGCAGCGCAAGCCATCCATGGTCCCTCTGTAGGCGCAGGCGTCCTGTGGCTTGCCACAGTGACAGGCAAATCCGAAACCGGATGCCGCCAACCATATATATGTATGATTTGGCGGCGTCCGTATCCGGATTCGCCTGTCACTGTGACCTCCATGGGGACAGTCACAGGACGCCTGCACCTGCAGAGGACCATGGGCGGCTTGCGCTGCACCACCCACGGTTCCACCCACGCACCCCATATCCGGTGTAAACTCGAAAGACTAACACCAGGAGGCATGTGAATGTGATCCACGTTTCATCAACGGAGCCGGACCACACTCTTTCAACAAGCAGAACGGAAGCATTCCGGCCTAATTGGGAAATCAGGCACACCAGACGTCTACATGGCGGTGGCTGAATCGTAGCCCATTCCACACAGGATGGAACCACTCTATAAGCCTAGCACTGTCACGAGAACGGTGCACCCCGTCCCCTCTAGCAACGACCAACTGTATCCTTGAGCCAGTATGGACGAGGTAGTGGGCAATAGGCAGGTAGGCACCTTGTCAACATTCACATCAAGCGCAGCCACAGCGGGGAGCTGAAGCAACGCCTACTTCTGAAATGCAAGAATACTCATCACGCAAGCAAACGTACCACATACGCCGCCTTATTGGCCTGAATTAGTAAGTCGAATGGGAGCGTACTCATGGTGCTTCCATTCCACGTGCAATATTGCCTTCTCCTGCACCTGAGCAACCACCCTTTATAGTAGTCCACGGAATTCGCACTGATCAACATTTGACTTGGATTCGCAACACCTTCGCAACTCACCTTGTTCTGAGAATGTTATTTTCGGTTTGCCCTAGTGCCGTTTCCCTGCACTAAGTTGGCCGTACACAAGCAGTATGAGTATCCTTGTCGAATTCATTGGATATACATATATACATAGATTTGGATCATCCGTGTCTAATGGCAGTTCGAATACAAGGTATGCACATGCGTTTATCCAAACTGAAGTGTGAGCTATCACAAACTGGAAAGCGACACATTAGACCTCATGATCAATGGTACGACAAATGTGTATGGGCTTCGTTTGGAGGTCAGGCTAATAACCACTTTCGCAGGCATGGGAATAAGTACCCCATACGAACTGTTAATGTTTCTTCAACATCTAGACGTGACGGCCTTAAATCTAGGGCATTCATATCTAAAGAAACCCCGTATAGCAAAAGTGACGCAACTGCTAGGTAGAATGATAAATAAATCACTGGTACAGTAAAATAGTCTACACTTAGGTGTTGGCGTCTACATGTACAGTCTGTTTCGCCTAGCTGATGGGGGAGATCGCACAGCATGCGAATGTGATGAAGTGTCCACTTCTGGCTCTTCCTGTAGCCCATCGGTCCGGTCATCTGCTACCCGAGGTACATACACATTCTCAAAGAACGATTGATGCGCAACCATTGATATTGACAGGTGACATCAACTAAGTCCCGCTGCCCACTGTAAAACATGCGACTTTTCGAACACGACTCGCAGTGTTTTGCAAATTTCCAAGT